AAACAAGAACAAGGCAGTGAAGCTGCAGCTCATCTGGGTGACTTCAACATAACAGAATTGCATGCATACGAGCAATTTAAAATGAGGGAAGAATCTGAATGTGAACACAACTGAAATTAAAATCAAACAGTATACTAACTAAAAGGGAAGATGGAAAATGCAAGCAGCTAGCTGGTAGCAAACATTAGCTATAGCAGATGTGCTTGCCATTAGCTCTAAATGCATGTTAAATTAAAACCAGAATCTGTTCTCACAGAGATGGCCTCAGTCATTTGAAAAGAAAGGTTAGTTTGGAAATCAAAACTTTAGAAAAGAATAAAGGCAGGATGTGGGAGAGGTAGAGAGACCTGATGTCTGACAACCACAGGCAAATGTTCACAGATTTGGACGGTCACTCTGCAGCTCTGAATGAGTGGTGCTACATTTCACAGGAGCTGGTAAAAATCCTGCATGTAAAAGTCAACAAAACCTTTTAAGGATGTGAACGTAAGATTCAGTGATTTGACTTCTTTCTAGGCAATCAAAAGCTGAGCAAGCAGTAAAGTAGATGCTGGTGACAAATGCTAAGAAAAGGAAAGTGAAGTCCCAAAGATTTCCAAATAATGACTAGAATTTAACTCTGAGCAGCACTTACCAAAAGAGAAACAAAATAATTACAACAGCAGGCATCATAAAATACTGTGACCTGGAAAAATGAAAGTACTAAGAATGAGTAACTCAGTCAAAAAATTCAATTGCACAGTTACCAAGGCTGGATGTAATTTCAGAAAACTGAGGAAAAAGACTTCCAAAATGATGAAGGGATTACAAATTTTAAAATAGGTGTTAGGAACTATCATGAGAGAAATCACAAACAGAAAAGAAACTGTCTTATCTAATCAGAGTGCTGAGAGCTGAGGAATAAAAAATAAAGTGGAGGAAACATGCCTGTCTGGGACTCCTTAAAAATGTTCCTAGCCACTGACTGAGTAATAAGACTGATCAGAACTACCCAATAGCAGGAAAAAGTTACAATAGAAGAGGTGAAGTGTCCTAAACTGTCAGTATTTGGTATCCTGCTCTTTCCATCACACCATCAGCTATATAGTACTGGCTATCTAAATTTATTTTAATAAATAGATTGCTGAAATATCATAGCAAATTTGGTTTAGGGTCATAAATTCTGAAAAGAATTGATGTGTATATCTAAGAGTTTATTTCTCATTTTGGGACTTGTGGTGAAAAATTAAGTTCCATTTTATTTGAGCGGATTTACGACTCTTAAGTAATCAAACTATGGCTTTGAACACGCATCTACCTTCTTTCTAGAATACTGTACAGATTTAAAGCAAAGATCAGTTGCTAGAGTATCAAGTCAAAAGTAAGAAGGTAGATGGCTTTGTTTAGTGAGGATCTATAATAAACTCAGGTAATTACTTCTCACATTTTAATTTCACTGTAGTAAAGTTTAAAGCACAACTAACAACAATGTAAAACTTGAATTTGAAGAAACTATAGTTTACTGCTTAATAGTGTGGAGCAAGGAAATTCTGACAGTCAATGAGACCAAAACAAAAACAACAGCAAATTCAGTCAAAATACAATCATATATGAAATCTTCAAGGGCTATGGGAAATTAGGAAGCAGCCAGCTTTTAGTAAATGTTTTGGGTTTGTGACGCTTTGCATTGTGAGTAGCCATGGGCTCTGTCATGCGCATAGCAAATCTGTAACACACTGCATGTTTATGAGGATTGCTCAATCTTCAGTAACAACTGAAAGCTCTTACAAGCAGATGGCTGGGGGGGCTGTAAGAAACCAGTTTGGTTTTACGTCAGTCTCCCAATGGATAAAGGCCCACACTGTAATGAGTACACATTAATAATCTTTCCAGGAACTCTGACAAAGAACCATGGGTTGAATGTGTGTTGAAAAAATAGCTACCCTTGCTCAAAAAGCTGCGTTTTCAAATCAAAGTTTTGGTGTGAAGTGGGACATGATTTGATTCTTCACCTATCTTCTCTTTTTCTCATCTATGAAGCAGTCCTTAGGGAACAGTTTGAGTTGAGACATTTCTAGGAAAGTAGTTTTCCAATCCACTGGCTTTCTTAGGACTGAATCAGAAAGTACTGCAGAGCTAGCAGAGCGCGCACCGCCACTGCTCTCTTCTCCTGCTACTTCACTGGGACACCTCTGCTCCACCACTATGGTTCTGCTTCTTGGCATGCTTATGTGGTATGTGAAAAATAAGCCCATATTCTGAAGTGTCTATGCTGTTTTTGGGAAGGCTGTGTAAGAACTGCGGGGGATATGCTACTATTATTTGCCTCTGCCAGCGTATTGCCATGTCCCCTGCACAAACATAATCCATGTAATTTAGCCCTTACAATCTAGAAATGATGTCTTTATGAAAAAAACGGTGTGATACTTCCATTAAGGTAGAGAAACCTCTTATTAAACCTCAGATGTTAACAACTTGATCGCAGGGGTATAGGATGCAAGTTACGACAAAATTGTCTAGCTAATACAAGTAGCTGACTGTAGGTTATTATAGGATTCATACAAAAGGAAATTTGTTGCTGGCAATTTTTTTTTGTACTTTATACCAATTGTAAATATTCTGCTCTGTTGAGTTGAAATATAGAATCTTCTTGTCGTTAGCAGGTACTTCTTGGTTTATGAGTTTTCAATGATAAATCAGTGACATGAAGTTCTTTCCCATTTTTGTTGACTGAGAGTTGCTGTTTGAATATTAAGTAAAACTTAATTTACTCTCACAACAACATAGCTAATATCTGGACAGATTATTATCCCAGAGGGTTGAAACTATCTGTTAACCTCTCCATGCAATAACCACCTAGTCTAGAGTTGAAAAGACAAAATTAAACTAAAATGTGTAAGCATGATGCTGATGTTCTGTTCTTGTGTAATGTCTCCTTTTGTCTTCCTAGTATGCATTTTCTGTCATTTTCATCATTCTCCAGCTAAAATTATAAACTCTATTACACAATAAGCATTACAAATGTTATCTCAAATAAAATTAGCGCTGAAGAGATTAGTTTCATTATTTAAACAAAAAGAAATATTGTTTCTATCATATTTGCTTCTGGAAATTGAAAAGTGAAGATGAGATAGGGGATAGAAAATGGACTGGGAATTTGCCCTTGAGTTTCAACCCATTTGAGGTTGAAAATAAACTTTATTTTTACAATAAGCTTTTCTTAAGTCATGATCTTCAAATTGTGGACTCTTAGTGTTAGCAGCTCATTTAAATAGCCACATGGTTAAAAACAGTTGGGCAGTATTGTATGTTAATGAGTTTTGCCCATGAGAACTGCAAGATCTTATTCCATCAATAAAATCAGAATTACTGCCATGTATAAATGACAGTCTGAATCCATGTGTAACAAGGAGGTCCACAGCATTAGAAGAAAAAGAAAAAAAATATATTTTGTCTAGAATTGGAGCTGATGAAACAGAGGCAGCCCAAAGAGCACTTAAGAATTGCTCTGGCTAGAGATTCCTTTGATAATATGGGTATTTTCAGCTGCTTACCTTTAGATTAAAAATATTAGTGGTGGTGTTCTCAAAAGTTAACAGCAGATACTTGAATAATCCTCACAGATGTTAGTACTTTAAATAGGAGAGGTACTGTCATTCCTACAAAATAAACACATAGTAGGATGGAAATAAAAAATCCATCCAAGATGTTAAAATGTAAACACAGACTCTTGCATTATGTAAGTACATGAAGACCTACAGTGAGAAATTAAAAAGTTGGGAAAAGAAGTCAGATATTGTAAATTATAGAGGGGAGTTGGTCAGTCTGCCATTTAACAGTCTTGAGGATAAATGTCCTAAATGATGAGATAGTTAGGAATGTAAAGCTGGCAAAGGAGATGACCTACTCAGAGTGTGAAGAGGGGACAAGGGAGAGCTAAAAACTAAGGCAGGAATTTTGAGCTGTCTTCAGCTTCGAGTCAAAGAACATCTCTAAAATTTCTAAAACAGGGCTATGGACTCTAAACTCAGTAGTTAAAAGACGTTAAGTTCAGTGATCAAACTGGAAGTTGTAAAAACCAAACCAGAAATCAAAAGTGAATGTCAGATGGTAGTTCAACTAACAGATCAGAAAAGGGGATGTGGCAAATTCTTCATTATCTTGAATCCTTAAATCATGATGTAATATGGTCATTTGTGCTGAGTTTCTGGACTGTGGGTGCTGACCCCCCACCTTTCCCCAGTGTCAGAGAATGTAATCAGGGAGTTGTGAAGCATTGAAAATTTACTGCGCTCTTCCCTACTCTTTGCACACCCTTAGTCTTCAAGGTCAAGTAACTTCCATCATCGTCTCAAAGCTCTCCCAGATTATATAGATTTACTGTCACCAATAATTCTTAAACTATTTTATAATAAATTGTGAAAATATGACTTAAATGAGAAACTTCAACCTAAGAAACTCTAAAAGGGCTCATCTAGTTCTGATCACTGTATTTTGTGATAGAACAGTGAAACAAATACATCATTATATAGATTATCTGGTAAAAGTCTGGTGTTACTGGCTGTGATTGTATGTTTTAAGTAACTATTTGTATTAACAATGAAGCATGGAACTATTTTCATGAGGGATAGAAACTTAATGTTCAGTTAGGAATGTATTCTGTACCTGGCTGTTTCTGTAGTAGTATTAGTTCTACCCTAGACAAGTTTTGTGGGTACTGACTGCATTTGCCGCTTCTGTCTTCATATCTGCTTTTGACAGTAACTTTCATTTTTTGTGTCATTTGGACTATTTTTCTATTAAGATACTGACACTGAAGTCATGCTGTAGGTACCACTTGAGAGCCATTCATTAGAGATTCAAATAGTAGTTTATTTTACAAACCTCTTAAGAAAATTCACCAATATATTAAATGTGCATGATAAAGTCTTAAATTAACTTGTATATATATTGCAGGTAAATGTAACAGGCCTTACAAAGTTTAAATATCGTATCTTAATCCAGACAGTGAGAACTTGCAATTACATTGTGTATCCCGGAAGCTTGTTTATTACAAGTTCACTGATGTCTTTGTATTGATTTGGAACATGTAGTTTCCCCAGAAAATCATCCTCGTTGTCCGACATACTGTTTTCCAGGACACTAAGTTCAAGATCAGACATGTTAGATGGCAAGTAAGAGTTAACTTGAGTTACTGACTGGCTTTTTCCTGCAGAGGTCTGCCCCTGCCCTATATTCAGATCAGTATCAGAGCTAACTTGTTTGGTTCTCGGTGTAGATACTTGTTTCATATGCTGATCACCCCTGTTCTCTTCCCTACTGATCTGCTGGGCTTCCTGCTCTTCATCTATTAACCTTGCGTGAATGGAGGCATCATTCAGTGCATCAACAGATTCAGCATTAGTTCTCTTGCTAGTTTTTAAGTCACAGTTTCTCTTCAAAGACTGGACTGAAGATGAACCTGAAGGAACTGGCAAAAGATCTGAAGTACTTTCAGCTCTTTGACTTGTCTTTGAAATTCTGGACTTACTGGATTCCGGCTCTGTATCTGACCAACCTCGCTTTGGGCTTTCAAGCCACAGAGGTTCAGGACTGCTCTCAAGAGCTGCTGAGTCTCTGCCCGTACACTCAACACTGGTGAAATCTTCTGAATAAACTGTGTTCTCAGGACTAGCAATGAAGTCATCCGAGTATATGAATTCAGAATTGTTTTCGACACTCCTGCTGCGGCTTGGTTTATGATCACTTACAACAGATGCATCATCTCGCTCCACAGTTTTATGGTGGATTAAGTGTATTGCTTCCTCATTACTTCCCTTTGCATTAGCCTCTAATGGGAAAGCTGTGGGGAGTTGGGCTTTCCCATACTTTTCCTTGTGAGCAGATTTTAATAGAGTTTCCTCCAGTAAGGGGGCTGTAGTTACTTTGCATGGATGTTCCTTGCTTGCAATTTCATCGTTCTTCAATAGACTTGCAATAGCCTGTTTCTGCAGGTCAGGGGACACATCTCCTGTCACAGAAATGGGCTCTGTGAGAGCACTGTTTTGTAATGAAGTCTTAGCAGTTTTATCAAACTGATTATTCTGCTTTGAAGTCTCTCCCTTGCTACGATGCCTGTAAGAAGCCACATGCTGTTCTCCACCATTTCTGAGCAGCTTTCTTTTGGATAAAGGGCTTTTCTCCTTCAGCATCTCCATTTGTTTTTTTCTGTACTGCTCTCTCTTTTCATGAATTATCAGCTTATCAGGGTTGGTCCGCTGCAGCCGTAGCCTCAGTGTATTTGTCAGCCCATACAACAATTTCCTTCTGGGAGGTCTGTTTTCCTTAGTTTTGCAGTTCCTTTCAGAGTCTGTCTCTCTCTGGGATACAGCTTCCTTGGGTCCTTTCCCAGCCTGAGAAGACCCTGGTGAGGCGGCCTCTTGCCAGCCTTGCTTGAATCTGGGGCTGGCAGCACTGCAGCTCCTGCCAGGCCCCACAGGTGCCTCTGGAGGCTCGAGGGCAGAGCTGGGGCTGGGGGGCTGTGAGGCCATGCCACCACGCTCCGGGGGCTGGTAAAGCCAGGCCAGATGGGGGTGGACAGCAGCAGGGGTAGTGCTGCGGGTGAGCACCGACAGCTCTCTTGCCAGCCTTGCTTGAATCTGGGGCTGGCAGCACTGCAGCTCCTGCCAGGCCCCACAGGTGCCTCTGGAGGCTCGAGGGCAGAGCTGGGGCTGGGGGGCTGTGAGGCCATGCCACCACGCTCCGGGGGCTGGTAGAGCCAGGCCAGATGGGGGTGGACAGCAGCAGGGGTAGTGCTGCGGGTGAGCACCGACAGCTCGGCCAGCAAGGCACTGAGTAGCGGCAGCTGCCCCAGGGTGTTGTGGAGCTGTCGAGGGCTGGCGGGGTGCAGCAATGAGGGCCCAGCGCTGGGATGTGGGGGGCTCTGGCCCTTCTCTTGCTCCTGCGGTCTCCAGGCCTTGACATGCTCCCATTGCCCTGTGGCTGCTGCTGCTGGTGGCAGATGAGAGTCAGCAGACTTGCGGCTGTAATACAGTACGGGAGGACAAAAGATGTTGCCCTGCAGCTCCTCACCCTCCTCCTCCTCG